TATATATATATTTCAGTAAAATTATATAGTCCTACTGTAAATAGTTTTTGGTATTATATCAAATTCTCGTGCATTTTTGTCGAAAAATATTTCAAAAAGTAAGAAACATTTTATGTTGAGTTTGAAATAATTTCAATTCCACTATTTTAAGATTTTTTTTTTCGTTTTTTTGACATTCAGGATTGTGTGTGTGTTTCAAAGGGAGAGTTTACAAAATTGTTTTCCGATTTTTAGAGTGCTAACTTAATTGATGTATACCAGAGACTACAAAAAAACTTATAAAAACATAAAATAGATTTATAGAACAAAATATGTTCAACTTTCCTAATTTAAGAAAAAAATAGTAGAATAGAATAAAAATTGTAAAAGTAGAAAATGTCACCAAAATAATTTTCTTCGAATACTAGTAACCATTTTTTCTTTAGTGCATAACGATCCTAGTAATTTAGATTTCAAAAATTTAATTAACTAGAATACATTTTTTTAAAAATGTCTTTAACCTCTTCGGGACGTTTGAGTCACAAATGGTTTTGATGAGAGTTAGTTCAGAGTGTAACTTCAGCATTTTTATTTCAAATTAAGTAGTGGCGAATTAAATCGATTAAATTATTATTATCGCGCCCAAAAACAAAATTCGAAAGAAATATTTTGGCTACCAGTTTCTATCTTTTTTTTTACCCTGATTTCGTGTTGGTGCGTATACGTGACATTCGCAGATTTCCGATTAATCTTGCCAACATTTTACAAGGCTCAACAGTACTCATCATACATGGCAACGTTACTTTTAAAAAGTAACGAGTAAAAGTACAAGTATTTTGAAAAAAAGTAACGAGTAAAAAGTAAAAGGTTCTTATTTTAAAAAGTAACGAGTAAAAGTACAAGTACAAGTACTAAACAAAAAAATAACGATTTAAAAGTACATTTCTAGGAAATCAAAGATTCAAAGAAACCTGAAATTTTATTGAATAATATTCTTATGTTCTTCAATGTTTTTGCAAAATTTTTGTTATTTATTTAATTATTTTTAATTTTGAAAGTTATGGACATTAATTTATTTTTAAATTCGGAAGAATATTATATTATAATTTTATAATATAATCGTATAATACAATTTTAAAATCAAATATAATTTTAATATCAAACTTTTTATGGATTTGCACGAAAAAGAAATTTTATCTATTGATTTCTATTTTCAGTTTATTATTTTTATTTATTTAAATTATCATTAATTTAAAATTGTTTTACTCTATGAAAACGCGTTTTAAAAGCACAAACATAAACAAAGCAAACACGGGGTTTCAGATAGCTTTGTGATCTTTGAGCTAGTAAAAAATAATTGAATGTGCAGTATAAGTTGAAACAGAACATCCAGGGCCTACCCATCCAGGGGCGAGTCTACCCATTTTAGTTTTATTTAATTTTCACTATTTTAAATTGCAAATAAAAAAATTTTTACCAATGGAGGACTTAGTTCAGACTCTAAGGAAGATGGCGCTGTAGTAGTTTGATCCGTTTTTATTTATTTGGTGTCTTTTTAACCGACCTGTTCAAACGTCTTTTGAGAGATTTGTATTGAAAATCAGCAAACTTTTAGTTGGTGAAAGTTTTAAGTATATTATTATTATTATTACTATTATTATTATTATTACTATTTTCACTTTGGTTAAGTGATAAACTTATCTAAGACTAAGATTACATTAATTTTATATGAAAAAAAAACGAAAAGAATGTAAGTTTTGTTGTTGTAAACAAAAAGCCAGAATTCGCGGGGCGAGTCTACCCATTCGTATTTAGTGTTAATAAAGCATAATAATATAATTTAGAACTTTGTTTATATTAAAATTAAGTCATTTTAAATGAATTTGAGTATATTATTTTAATTCTGCATTGATAAATTTATCATTAATAAGAAAATTTATAGGTTAAATATAAATGTAAATATAAAATATGTTTATTTTACCTATTTTTTCAATTTTTATATTACAAAATTAACTTTTTTTATTTAATGCAAGTTAAATAAATTATTATTTATAAATTATTATTACCTCCCAAAAGAATGGGAAAAGGATTTTTCATGATTCCCAATGTTTGAATTTCGATTTTGTTAATAATCTTTAATTATTATTATTTATTAATTATTTAATTGTAAATTTATATTAATTTTAATTTATTTTTATCAACAATAATCAGAAAAAAATGTTATTTTATAATGTTAATGATTATAAAAACAAAACTGTGATCAAAATGTGATAATCGATCAAATACTCAATTTGTGTTATTTTATGAATAAAAAAATGGAATATATAATAAAGTTATGAATTTTACTTCATAAATATCCTATATAGTAACTAAAATAACAATTTAATAGTAAAATTTGATTATTTACAATGTTAACATTCATTTTAGTAGAATGGGTAGACTCGCCCCATACGAGAGATTTGTCAGCAGTTCTATAAAAATATACAGTAACAGCGTAACTGTTAATATTTTCTAAAATCGATTTCACAGCTTTAAAGAGGGATAAATAGCGATTCCGAAACACCTATTAAAAGCCTTTTTTCTTTAATATTTACAAAAGTTTGACCACTTGAAAGTTGACAAACTGGAAAAAATGGGTAGACTCGCCCCGGTTTACGGTAGTAAAAAATAATTGAATGTGCAGTATAAGTTGAAACATAATGTATTTAAACACGAAGTTAGTTGTGAATGCATATATATTGCACATTAATTTTATAAATTAAAAAAACATAAGCATTCTTTTTTAATTTAATCTTCTTTTTTTTCTTTTTTTTTTAAGAAAGCTTACCGAGTTTTAGAAAAACGTAACGATTTCATTCGAAATTTCCGTTACAAATACTTGTACTTTTTCCCTAAAAAAGTAACGAAAGTACAAGTAAAAGTACTAAATTTAAAAAGTAATGAAGTACAAGTAAAAGTACCTACTTTTTACTTGTACCGGCGGTACAAGTAACGAAAGTAAAAGTACTGCCATATATGGTACTCATACGGCTAAAAATTCTCAGACTAAAAATTATGATTTTGCATTTTTTCTTTTTTTCCTTTGAGGCGCTGACTTTTATCTCTAAATATACGATTAACCTAACATAAATTATGAAGAGCGATAATAAAAATCAGAAAAAAGCGGAGGAAAAGTGAAATAAAAATGCAGTTAAAAGTACGGTAAACAAAATAACAAACAGGGTTTCTTTATGCAGGTGATATTTTAAGCGGAAATTCCTTATCTTCCTTTACGTCATCTTAAAGGGAAAATTCCCTGATTCCTTCTATTGAATTACAGAATTTTATATTTATCATTACATACTGAATGTTTATGTGTAGAGTAAGATTCATCCATACGTATCTTATCTGATACTGATTTTTTCAAAAGAAACCTTACATTATTTGAGAAAAAAGAAACTACTCATCTGCCGGTATGTAAAAAAGCTTTGTTGTCTATCCAATTTGATTTTGTCTCTTTTATAAAGTTAAAGGGTAAAATAATTAACCCTTTGTGGGTTATAAACATTTGAATGTAAGTTTTTATTTAGAAAAGTGATATGAATTATGGTGTTTTGGAATGCTTTATATTTTTCAAAATTTAAAGTTGTTGATTTAAAACCGTGTTAAAATATCAAAATAATTATAATATTAGTAGTTTTATTATTTCAAAAATAAGTGGACAGTTTTTTTCCCTCCATTCCTAAAATGATTAGTTAGGAAAAGTTGCTAAGAAACAGTTTTATCTCTTTATTAAATAAAGTGAAATCGAATTCAATTTTTTTTCATCGTTTTGTAATGATGAATAAAAAAACAACTGGTTTTCTAAGTTTTGAAGTCTTCAAACCGATTACCCACTGAAGTTATGCAAACACAATGAAATTTTTTGTCCAAAAAATTAAACTCCAATTACATCAAGAGCATTTTCAGCCGGAAAACTTAATAAATTACTAACTGATAAAATTTTTTATCAGAGTTTTCAGGAAGTAAGTCTCAAATTGCCATTTTCTTAAGATATTAAAAAAAAATTTGTGCTGTATAGTTTAAAAATATTCAGACAGGCCTGAATACCCTCCACTGCTCTATCGAATGTTCTTATTTGTTTATTTATTGTTACACTTATGCAGGCAGGGGGGTTTAATTAGTCTATAAGTTATGTTGTTCAAAATCATATAATTAAATCTAAAATTCAAGGATATAAAAAAAATTACTACCACTTGAAAAATAAAAATAAAATCTTGCATAAAATTCAGAAATACCACAACTGTGTTGAAGCGTCAAGACTTAGACTGTTAATTTTTCTATCAAATAAATTGACGTAGTAAGTACTGTTGATTATTATTTATTTTAGAAGTAGTAAACTACCTTTAACTACTACTATTTATTAACAGCTGTGGTTAAGACTCAATTCGTACAGTACTTGGTAGGGTTACAATATTTAATTAAACTTAACTAAATCCAAAGTATTTTAAAGTATATCTCAAAATTATTAATATTTGAAAACTGTCTCCGTTTCATAATTTTTCAAAATTTCTATATGAATTTGGTTTTGCTATATTAAGTTGAAGAACACGGCATTCCCCCCCCCCCAATGTTTAAAAACACGAAAAAGTGATGTCTCTTAAAAATAGCAATAATCGTATAATTACTCATGAGAGCAAATCTTAAAAATAGCAATAATTGTATAATTATTCTCTAGGCAAGCAATTCGAGAAATTATTGCTTGTAAAAATTCAATTTCAATGTGGTTTGTATTGCACGTTGTTTACTTTCATCAGAATATAGGTCACTGCACTGCAATGAAAAAAAAAAGTTTTGTTTCTTTCTTCAAATAGATAGGGTTAGTGAAATGCAAAATCGTCATACGTGACGTCATGTAACCGGTTTCAAAAAGACAGTGAATGAAGTATTTCAGGAAGCTCTAGCTCCTGATTTTATGCGTTTTCACCAATATGTTCATTAAATAACCGTTTGTTTTAGATAAATGCCTAATCAAAGCTTAGTTATTCGTAAAAGGAACTAACTGTTCAGGCATGATTATTTAGATTTGAAATACTTTATGATAGAAAAGTAAACTTGAGAAATCTTATGAGTGGTAAATAATGAGCTATGAAAACAACAATTACGGTAAGCTGAATTTTTTTTTTTTTTTCGTAACAGAACATCGCACGTAAATGCCTACTCAATATTTAAAGTGAAAGCGAAATGATAATTAAAGAAACTTAAAATTTAGCTTACAAACAAATGTTTAATTTTGTCAGCACTTTAATATTTCATACGGAGATGCCACAAGCGACTAAAAATGTAAAAAGTGAAAATCTATTAAAATGAGATTTAAAATTAAATTAAAATCACATTTCTAAAAAGGCAGTTTACCATTGATTGCAATGAATATTTTTCGTTTTAAATATGATTTATTTACAATGTATGCCTTGGTGGTAGTTACGTTGAATAACTAATTACATAAAACCTTACATTTTTAGTTTCCAGGTACATCCCTGTTCTTAAGCATAATTATCAGAAGTTTATTTGCTGAAATTATATCTACGTAGTAGTTCATATCGTTGTTGTAGAACTGGGCATCTGAGGCCTAAATAGCCCTTATCCCATATCTATGTAGTAGTGGGCATAGTCATTATAAGTTAAGTTTATTATATTCAAAATGCATTGGTATGGTTCCCACAAGCCTTAAATATTTTAAAAAGTGGTAACAATAAGAAGATGAGCCTTGAACATTTAATACATCTGTAACCACCCGTTCAATATTTTTTGTTGAGTCTTGGTGGCTCAGGGGATAGAGCGTTCGCCTTCCAGTGAGGTGAACCGGGTTCGGTCAGTATGAATTCCGCTCCCGGCTCGCACTAACCACAGTGCTGACGTGAAATATCTTCAGTGGTATACGGATCATAGGTTAAAGTCCCCTTGCCGTAAGGCTAACCGTGGGAGGTTTTGAGGCTTTCTTCTCTATTTAACGCAAATGCGGTTTAGTTTCATCAAAAAAGTCCTCCAGGAAGGCAAATTTCTCCCAATAACTGGCCCAGGAGTTCCGTTGTCTTCTGGATTTGATTCAAATTTACAAGGCTACGGAGTTGAACGTTAGTAGTCGTAAACCCAAAATTGGGTCGGCTGTTCAACGACGGCTATAAAATATGACTACCAGAAAATTCTGCGTATGCTTTATTTTCTGTAATGGGAAAGGTTTTTTAAAAAAACAAAGTGGAGTTATATTTATCCTTTAACCTAATGATGAAGAAACACTGGCCCAAAACGCCATGCGCATGCATATTTTAACTTGTAACAGAAGTATCCGACAAACTAAGCTGTGCAATTTAATCTGATACAGGCACTTTAAGAGTAGCCTCAATTTTTTTCTATAAAAATATAAATAAATAAATAAAATTAAATAAAGACAACCTTGCGTACTTTTTATAACCGTTGTTGAACAGCTGACCCAATTTTGTGAGTTTATGGCTTACAATGTTCAAATCCGTAGCCTTGCAATTTTGAAGTCCATCCAGAAGACAAGGGAACTCCAGTTTCCAATATTGAGAGTTATTTACCTTCGTGGGGGACTTTTTTATGGAACTAACCCGTATTTGCATTACAAGTAGAGCAAAACCTCTCACGGTTATCCTGACGGCAAGGGGTCTCTAACCCATGATCCGTATCTTATGATCAGAGGATATTTTTCGTCAGCTCTGTAGTCGGAACAAGTTGGGAATTCGTATCGACCAGCTATCCCTGGGATTCGAGCCCGGTTCACCTCATCGGAAGGCGAACGCTCTATCCCCTGAGCCACCGCGACTCACTCAGCTATATTTGCATAAAAAAACGTGTTCTTTCGCGGACAAAATTTGCCGGTAGACTTAATACTTTGCTCTCGGTTTTAACTATTTTCAAGAGATACCCGCGATATTGTCAAGTTTCTCTATGTATTGAATTTATATTGTATGAGTATGTATTGAGTTATATTTATTATAAAAATAAATATAACTCAATAAAACAGGGGTGATTGTGAGCCNAAAGGATATTTATGGTAACCCGTGCAGAGGCCTACTCTTTTCTAGGAGGTGTTGTTCGAGCCCGGTTCACCTCATTGGAAGGCGAACGCTCTATCCCCTGAGCCACCGCCACTCACTCAGTTATATTTGCATAAAAAAGCGTGTTCTTTCGCGGACAAAATTTGCCGGTAGACTTAATACTTTGCTCTCAGTTTTAACTATTTTCAAGAGATACCTGCGATATTGTCAAGTTTCTCTATGTATTGAATTTATATTGTATGAGTATGTATTGAGTTATATTTATTATAAAAATAAATATAACTCAATAAAACAGGGGTGATTGTGAGCCCAAGTCAAAATTCCGGAAAATTTCTTGAGTTCAAAAAAAAAAAAGACAGTTTAAATTGAAAAAAATTTAAACAAGGTTTTTTTTGTTCCTTTTTCTCAATATTTCTTAGTTTACTTAAAATATATTTAAAATTTTACACATACCTATGATGACCTGGAGAAGTAATTAAAATTAATAAATATGTCTTTCTTTCTTGAGTTTATGATTATAACAACTATTTACTGATAAAAAATAAATATTAATCATGAATATAAGCTTATAAAGTATCACTCTGGCTCGCCTTTACAAACAAAAAAATAAACTGTGTTTTTAAGTTCCACCTTTGAAAATTTGATTTCCGGAAACTTCTGTGATCAATGATTTTTTGAAACATCTGGACCTTCGCTCTCCGGAAACTTCCGGATCACTGTTAGCGAAAATTCCGGAAATCCGGATTTTTTCCAGAGCACAATCAGCCCTGATAAAAGAAATTAAATTATCAATAGCAGAATGGTGACTACAGTATCTTCATATATTGTTGCATAATAATGTAATGTTATCTTTTTTATATCATAAAGCATTATTTATGCATATGATAAGATGTATTAAAAAGGGACAAATGAGAAAGTTTTAATTTCTTAACTTAAATTAATAATAAAAATTAAAAACTAAATTTTATAACAGAAAATATTATTAATAATGACGATAATTATAAAAGGGAGAAAATTGTGATTGCATTATTGCGATCACTGCTCACCTATTGCGCAGATTTTTTTTTTTTCTCCTTTCGTGGTGACGGCCAATGGCTGTGTCGTAACACTTGATAAAATTAGTACTTGGGGACTAAACACTGGAGTTCCGGGTTTGACTGACTGCCTAATCGGAACATCTGCTCCTGCAACCTAGAGTCTAAAGTCAACAAAAGTGGAATTTGCACAGTAGGCCTTGGCCCTCCTTGGGCAGTCGCGCCACCGAGTTTAATTCTGTATAGACTTACACAACATTTCAAACCGTGGGTTGTAAAAACTGCATCAATTGATGTTTGTCCTCAGGTCGTCCATTGAGCTGGATTGGTTTTCTATTCCAGCCAATATACTTTTCTTAATACGTCAGAAAATTATTTTCTTTCTTCAGTATTCATATTAATATCAAAGTCACCGCTGAAGCAGTTATCGTAAATAAGTTATACATAAAAAGAATATAAAATACTTTAAATTACTATAATCTAATAACAATAAAATTTTATGTATATGAAATTAAGAAGATAAACATCAGTCTGAAAAACAATCAACTCCAAGAAGTTCCAAAATTATCGTCTGCTTTTTCTTTTTTCATTTGATCTTGATATGCAACTTTTTTATTAATGCTAATGTCAGCCTGTTTTTTTATGACTCTTATAAATATTTATTTGTGATCATGGTTTTTAGTCTCAAGTTCGTTTCAAGTTTCTCTTAGTCTCAAGTTTACTATTTTTAAAAAATAGGAAAATAAATAATTTATAAGTAAGGACGGTTGTAACTCGTTATTAATTTTATGCTGATTCAGCCAAATGTATGTGGACCATCTTTGTTTATTAAGGATTGTATCATTATGCATTATGAAAATGCAAGAGACGATAAGAAAATAAATTGTTTCGATTGGAACATCATTTTGTTTTTATCAATGAACGCGTTATGGAGGGGAATAAATCGTTTAGTTCGAGTTCCATTACAATGACCCTTCCAGTATAACAACCAATGCATAAAGAACCTTATAGTCTATTTTTTTAATTTTTTTTTTATGTCCGTTAGAACGTTCACATTGAACCGTTCATTTCAATATAACGACCGAAATTTGGTCATTTGATTAGAGCATGTTTTAAAGATATTATTTAAACCATTATTTTTTCTTTGTCCTACAAAATAAATTAAAATTTTTCGCCGACTCAGAGGGGCCTGATATCGAGCGTCGACTGCAACATAACTGTATGAAAAGAATAGGGCTTTGTGCTATGTTAATTAAAAAAAACTAACTGTGCTTTATTGATTAAAAAAATGCACAAATGAATTTGCATTTTTGCAGAATCATTGCAGAAATGAACATACAGAAATTGCAGAAATGAACATACTTTAGTTTCTATACACAATAATTTTTTTTTTGATGTTTAGACACTAAAGGAGGTTCTTGTTGTAGAACCGAAACTATAGTATGTCCATACTTAACTGTAATTAATGTTTTTATTTTATGATCATCAGCAAAATCTTATTACTTATGAAAAAATAAAGACGTATACATTTTAGGAAAAAAAATTGTTTTTTCAAATATGAGCAAGTTGATTTGATCTAAACTAAAAATATATTTCTTCGTATTGGTTAGAAATTCCAATTCAGTTAAATTTCACCCTTCCAAATCTAACCCGCTGTAATCTAATCTAATAATCTAAGCCGCTGTGTTGGATGTTCTACTTAACATTTTGTCTTGCTATTCTGCAAAAAAAAACTATATGAAAAGGCTTGCAGAAAACTGTACAGAGAGTACGATGGAATAAAAAAATTCTGACTTTCACCAATTAATTACAGAATAATTAACTGTTAAAGTAAAAAATAAAACGCAGTGGGCTCAGTAGTCAACTAAATGGTAACTAGAGAATTGATGTTTGACCTTTGCTGAAAGAATTTTTATTTGTGAAATTGACACGAGTTCCTTTTTTCACGAAATTTAAATTTCTTTGAAAGTTAATTCACTTTAAAGGTCTGGTTTCTTAGGACAAGCGCCTTATCTGGGCGTCAGCGGGACTTCAACGTCCTGCTGACGCCAACAAAATACTGGTTTGTTAGCTCAAGGCCTGGTTTCTTAGAACTAGCGCCTTATCTGGGCGTCAGCGGAAAGTTGACGTAGAGCTGACGCCAAAAAAATACTTTTTTGTTAGCTCAGCGTGAGCAGTCGGTCCAACGCAGACATTATCTCTCATTGCGCATGCGTTAATAACGTAAACAAATATTTATTTTGAATTTGCATTGATTTTGTTATTGTCGACCAGTGTTTTAGAGAACAAATAATGACTTTGTCCAAGAAAAAACACATTATAGCTGAGCTAAATGAAGAGTGCTATGTTTAATGAAGAAGCTGTGTTTAATATCAAAATCAAAATCTTGGCTGATTTCAATGTGCTGTTGGATGTTGTCCGCCATTGCTTCTGTGGTTAACGTCACGTTGTAATCCAACAACAGTTGAGTTGGACGGCAATTGTAGTTCAAGATGAGCGTTCGATGACGTATGCTATGAAACTCACAAATGGACCAATCAGAGGTTAGCGCTGATTTCCAGCTGACGGCGTCCTGTCCTAAGAAACCAGGCCTTTAACTGCTTCTTTTCAGCAATTATTTTTAGCACTTTCTCCTTTAAACCATGACCATACATCCTTTGCTGAAATCAGAAGTAGGAAAAGCTGTTTAACTAAACTAAACTCAGAGGCGCGACAGCCCATAGAGGGCCAAGACCTACTGTGCCCATTTCAGTTTTCTTGACCTTATAGGCTCTGGGGTGCAGGAGCAGATGTTCCGGTTAGGTGGTCAGCCGAACGCGAAACCCCCAGTGTTTAGTTCCCAAGCATGCTTGGTACTCATTTATCGACCCACTGAAGGGATGAAGGGCTGAGTCAACCTTGCCTGGCCCAAAGATCGAACCCAGGACCTTGTGGCACGGGAGCGCGAAATGCTACCACTAAGCCACCGGGCGGGAAAAGCTATTTATCTATCGATATTTTCATTTTATATAAGCTCGCTCTTGTTGGCTAAAGTTGAAAGTAAAAAAAAAATTTAAAAAAATTAGGTTGCCATAAAATTACCTAAGTTTAACTACAGTTGATATTTTTCAATTTACTTGGTGTGAGCCGTGGTACCTCAGGGGATAGAGCGTTCGCCTCCCAATGAGGTGAACCGGGTTCAAATCCCGGCGATAGCTGATTGAACCGAATTCCACACCCAGCTCGCACACCCGAATTCCACACCCACAGTGCAAAATATCCTCAGTGGTAGATCATGGGTTAGAGTCCCCTTGTTTGGGAGACAAGGGGACGCAGGATGTTTTCGTGGTTTTTCCCTTCCATGTAAAGCAAATGCGGGTTAGTTCTATAGAAAATTCTTCATAAAGTCATTTTTCTCCTAATACGTAATCCAGGAGTTCCCTTGTCTTCTGGATTGGGTTTGAAATTACAAGACTACGGAGTTGGACATTGGTAGTCGTAAATCCAAAATTGGGTCGGCTGTTCAAAGACGGTTATAAAAATTTATTTGGTGTATCATTTAGTAATCAGTAATTTTCTAAGTTACCATGTTTCATTTCAGGAATTATGGATAAAATTTGCTGCATCTTTGACTTAGAATACTTCCGCGGAAGCAAACTGGTGTGTGAGCTGGGATGGATTAACATGAACAACGGCAAGTCCGGAAGCATTCAATTCATACGGAAGAGCAACCAACGGTCCTTACAATACGGGGAAAATTGTAATCACAGTACAATGGATATTGGGGACTTGTCTTTTGAACAGATAATGGCAGAACCCTCCATGTTGGGGCAGTTACTGCGTAACAAGTTATTTTTTATTTATGAATCTTGCAGAACTCCCACCAAAAATGTGATTGCTTACAGGGGAGGAGGTGTTGAAAAAGCTATTGTGGCACCTCTAACAGCTCCGTATATCAATTTTGAACTTTACAATTGCCCTATGATAGACCAGATTAGCAGGATAAGCTACCCAACATGTGGTTACCACAGGTTTAGACATCTGTGCTGCCCTCTTGCTGAAGTTCATGCTTTCAGAACTTGGTTGATAAATCGGCTGTAATTAGGAATGAAAGCAAAAAGGAAAAGAAGAAAATCTGGCAGTAAAACCATTTCAGTAAGTGAATTTTAACCCCGATCGTGGGTATACGGGAAGAACCGGGTCGACTCGTCGCTGCGACAGTTGCTTTTTTTTTACGGAATCGCCCCCCTCCCTCAGGAGAGGAGGGGCGATTCTGTAAAAAAAGAACATTTCAGTAAATATTTTTTTTAAAACTAATGAACAGAAAGAAGCAGTTTCTCACATATGCTATAATTTTTAAAATATCTTGGTAGTTACAGTTATTTGTTTTTCTAGAAAAAAATGTCTTTTGTGCCAATTTTTACTCTTTTCCGTCTTGATGTATATAGTCTTTCAGCCTTGTTCTGTAATAAGTCAATAAAAGTTTTAAATGTTGCGCATGCAGCAGTTGCCTCTCGTGATTTTAGTATTTATAGTCTTATGTCTATTACAGCCAACACTTCCTGTATCCCCAGAAAATTTTATATTTATAGTGATAGCGAATCTCATGTAATTTCATTAATTTTTTGAGTTATAATAATAATCATAAGTGAGTTTGACAACACTGCATATAAATAATTACAACAAATATATAAAAGTATAATAGTCTCAGATGGAGCCCTTGGCTGCGCAGAATTGTGCCGGATTATCGGAGTTGCATTAATACACGCCTGCTTCCCTCCTGAACCATGTCCACTCTCCCATATGTATGACACATGCATATAGTGTGTTTCCATTTATTTGCCATATGCCTAAAGAGCTCTTCCCTTTAATCATACCATAAGACTATGGTATCCCGCCATATAATACCATACAATTTTTCTATAGTTACCATAGACGTATGGTGTCTTGCCACATGAATTCCATACAAATTTCTATGATAACAATAGGTGTAGGTTATCTTGTCATATGAATATCTATGGTTACCATAGGCAAGGTATCTTGCCATATGAACTTCTACGGTTGTCATAGGTTACCATAGGCGGGTCTATAGCAAATTTTCCTAAGAGGATCTATGGGCTGTCGCGCCACTAAGTTTTAGCTAGGATATAAGAATGGTGATTCATGTTCTTTTTTAAGATGACCACTTACTTAGCATGACCACGGAAGATGCAAACGTACGCAAGTTTATTCTTGACTTTTACCCGCTAGATATTTTACTACAGAAATATTTCATGACGACTTTTAAAAGTTAGAATGCATGAATTTTTGGCATATTTTACTGTAGTTTCCATTTCCATTTTTTTTAAATCTTTAAGACCAGAAACTCAATTATTTCAGTAAAAGTAACTAGCATACCTCTTCTACCTAACTTAAGTAGTAGCTAAAAGTGATAACTATCCACTTAGTATAGTTCAAATGAATAGCCAATTATTTGAAAAAGACTCTTTCTCAGAACACTAAAAAACTGAATTTTCACCATTTTGGCAAGAGAATCGATTAAGTGCCAGTGCATAAACTAAAAAAAAGTAATTTTCTTAACAAAAATGAAAATACGAATTTGTAAACTAAACATACCTGTAAGAAATCTCAATCAATTTAAATTAAGTTACTTTTTAAAGTCAGTTACTTTCTTTTCAAAACACTAAAAAAATTTGCATTTTTTTCCCGTTTGGCAGAGAATGGGTTAAGTACCCAAATCATAAACGGATTCTCCCATCAAATTTAAATTAACGAATTTTCAAACGGAACTTACCTGTTAAAAATCTTGGAAAATTTTTATTAATTTGAACCACTTGAAAAAACGTCTTAGCAGCACAGGAAAACATTTCGATTCGTTGTTCTTGAAAACGGAAGAAAAGAGAGTAAGTATCAAAAATTTTATCTCACGGGCGAAGAAAGCAGCTTAAATAACAGGTGAAAAAAGAAATCCATGATTCTTCTTATAGTAGATTATCATCATATTTTGAAATGATTTTGTGCTATTCGATTTGAATGGTCTGAATAATTGCGAAGTGGCATGATTATTTTAGTCAAAAAACATTGTCTAATAATTTAGGCTAACTAATTAATTTAAAGAGTAATAAAAAACACGAAATTGGGCTCCTTTTTTATCAGTTTTAAAGGGTATAACAATTTTTTTAAAGTAAAATAACACACATATTCATAGATCTATTAGAAATATGAAATTTTATTTTATATTGAACATTAGTAGCCGTAAACCAAAAAATTGGGTCGGCTGTTCAACGACGGTTATAAAATAAAAAATAAGCTTATCCAGATTACTAATAAATCGAAGGAAAATCAAGATAAGTGGATTCCAGTTATTGTTCCACTTGTTTTCCGAATTAGCTAGTGGATTCTATTTGTTATTTGAATTCCTCAAAAGGGTTATAGTAATTGGAGATATTAATAAAACTATGTGTACTTTCAAAGTAAGCTCTAAAATGTAAGAATAAAACAAAACAAAAAAAGGAAAGTTATATTTATTCAAAATAAATCCATCAATTTTCGTAAAAATGTTCACATTCTAGGGAACTACTTCAATTCAAAATATCACTTTTGATTTTCTTAGATTCTCTATCAAAACCAAGATAATAGATTAGTGGATTCCAGTTATTGTTCCACTTGTTTTCCGAAATAGCTAGTGGATTCTATTTGTTTTTTGAATTCCTCAAAAGGGTTATAGCAATAGGAGTTACTATTTAATAAAACTATATGTATTTTTAAAGTAAGCTCTAAAATTTAAGAATAAATCAAAACAAAAAAAGCAAGATATATTTATTCAAAACAAATCCATCAATTTTCGTAAAAATGTCCACATTCTAGGGAACTACTTCAATTCAAAACACCACTTTTGATTTTCTTAGATTCTCTATTTGTTCGTTGGAATAAGAAAGTATTTCTCTTAATACTGCATCTGTGTGTTCACCAAAATATGGGGATGATGATCGGACTTCATTGACGCAATCACTGAATGTCACAGCTGGACCTACATTTTTAAAAAAAAAAAATGTAGATAGGTTTAAAAATTGTGCGCATAGGGGGGGGGTGGCCAACAAGTATTTAAAAAAGAAAAGAAAACACAAAATCGTCATCAAACACTATAGAAGATGCATCAGTATTGCGTTACCAATCACTATTGAAGGAGGCGGAATTAAAAACATCAAATTCAGTTGCGAGCGCGGATGAAACTTAAAGGTGCTTCCAATAATCACTTTTTACCATTCTCGGGTCATCTAACAAGTTTTAACGTTGTTGTTTTTTTCTTCTTTGTTAGAATTCGTCTAGATTTGATAACGTTTGTATTTATTCTTCGCTTAAGCATTAAATTTTTAACTTTTAATGTGAACATTTTCTTCAATTAATTTTTGTCAAGGATTCGAACAATATTTAATATCTATGGTGAAAACGGCGGAACACTTTATTAAACTATTTGGAATGGTCTGTCCTAAATTTAGATGTATAATTGCGTCTAAATTCTGTCCTGCAGTGGACTGATCGCCAAGACACGGCTCTCAGTGGAACACCGAAGTCAAGCATCACTGGCTGCGGTCAGTAAGTAGGTGGGTGACCACTTTGATCCGCCTGCGAAAGGACCGAGGGTGCGCGGTATCGGTCCTCTCACTAAACTGTTCTACCGTAAAGTGCTCGACTTCGTTCGTAGGTAGTCACGCTACCAAAGCCAGGGAGCTATCCCCTCTGCAGAGAATCAAAATTGCGATGGCATGTCTTCGGATCATCCTCGGGATGTTTCCCTGACCGTCGCCAATAGCCCACTGCGCAGCTCTAGTCCGCCATTCGTCTGGAGGGGTGGCGGTGACTATGGTAACGAGGTATGATTATTTCAAGTAGCGGTGCGGGGTCCCTCTTTAAGACTGGTTTCGGTGGGAGAAAAGGAGACTTCTTTCTTCGATCTATTGTAATAGCCCTAGAGTTAAGAGAAATGAGCATTCGCGCCTGAAACATCGTTTAGAGCGTTTGATTCCTTTTTTTTAATCTTTTCTCTTTTTCAAAAGCTTCTGTTTTAGAAAAAAAATTTAAAAAATTTATATGTATGTATGGAATATGTATGGAAATTGTATAAAATTGTTTAAAGCAGCTCAATGTTTTATTAATAAATAACTCATCTATAAATTTATCATACATAGTAAATTGGTTATTAAGAAAAAAATAAATTTGCTAATAAAAACTGTTTTTAATAAATAGTGAAAAAAAACTGTACAGGTTACAATAAAATATGAATAAGAAAACGTAATTTAAGCAAAAAAAACTT